TGAGAATGTGGTTAGTGCTAGCAGTCATTACTAAAGATATTGTACAATATCTTGTCCAAAGGGCGCGCACCCTTGGGAACGTCCAAAATCGCACTCTTTTGGGAAGCGTGATACGCTAGCCACGATGTTTCTCCGCACACCTCCAAAACCTATGGATAGCAGAACCAATCAAATGCGATTTAAACAAAATGATGTAATAATTGCTTCAAGCACCGATGGCATCAGTACTCGAGTGGCGTAACTTCTATGATCCTTTTTATGCGCCTTTCCTATGCTGCCATGACAATCCTGTGGGCGCTTTTAATGTGTACACAATGAGATGAATTGGCTGAGTTTGTGCGAAAGCTTGATCAGTACAAACCGTTACGATAAATTCCTCCGTCAGCGAATCGCTCAGCAGAATCGTTCACGAGCAATCAGATTTTCGGGTTGCAAGGTCTGTGAGTCACTTTCTCCGGCTTCTTCCGGTTTGAATGTTTGAATGCTTTGAATGATGACGACGAACTAAAGCCTGTAGACCATGGATTGCTTTCGAAATCGAATTCAACTGACATACCGGATGACGCGGCTGTGCATAACTCCGCATCGTCACAGGTCGTCAGGCTCTTTCCTATTCTGGATCGCCTATTTACAAGCGTCTTTTCTGTGCTTCGGACAAAGCCTTTGACCCATTTTTCACCCAAGGTCCTAACTACTTGATTCACGTATAGTCCGCAAATAAAGGTAGTAAAAGAAATACCATGTTGCAGCATGTCTTTTTTTCGGTCCTAATGAGACTGAGTCTTATCACTCCTGGTGCTCTGAGTCGGCTCGAATGAGAGAAGAACATCGTAGCCGTGTCTGGTTCTTATTGTGTCTGATACAGTATCAAAAGCTGATAACGTGAGCAAAAATAACTCGACCGACAATAAGTTAAATAACTGGTGGATCGATACGCTACGCATGTTTATCCGTCAGCGTTCCGGATTTTCAGCAACCTTATGAGTAGTACATTACAAAGATATACATGTATCGCGATATCTCGAATATCGCGAAACATGAGGCGGCCTGGTGCAGCACATTCAGTTGCCTGAGAACATCACAAACGAGAGATTCAGCTGGTTTCCAGGTGAGTCTCTCGCAAAAACCAAATTAGTTTGCAAATGAATGTATATTCGCTCATTACGTGCAATTTGGTTTCAAGTAGAACATAAGGTTGACGGAAACCCGGGGACTGCGTCTACCTGATGAGCCCCAAGAAGGGCGAAGCCGGTCGTAGGTTGTCGACGGATTTTCAGCAACCTTATGAGTAGTATATTACAAAGATATGATGTTCGGTTATCAGGGACAGCTGGCCTCCGAACACCTCCCCTTTGAGAAGGCTGTTCAACTGACTGCTGCTTCGGACTCCAATGTGACGACTCATGGAGTTGCTGTAAAGTTCCTGAATACTATCTGTTTCCCGTACACCCCAACTGAGAAGAATCGGCACATATGTGGATCAAGCGGGGGTTTCAAACTTGCCAGAAGGGAGGCCAAATTGACAGACAAAGTGAGCTGTTTGAACGATCACTCGCCAGATGCGTGCTTGAAAGATCTCCGAGTTTATAGCTTGCTTAGAAAATGTTTGCATTTAAAACCATGAAATCCTATTCCGGAATTCTCATGGGGAATTCCAGTTTCCAAACGTCGACGGAAAACTCGTAGACACTGTATGGTGTTGATCGCTAGTACCTGACTTCATTCAAATATGATCTCACACAATCAATGCCTCCTATTCCCTGATCAATGACACTTGAACGTGACGAGATACACTTATATGAACTCGAGATAGTTCAATGGTTAAGGCGCCAGCTTATGGACCGGAAGGTCCGTGGTTCGAACCCAACCTCAGCATCTCAACTGTTCCTGTCTAGGCTGGGCACCCTGGCCGTATCCTAGCCCTCGTGCCTCTTTCTGTTATCTTGACAGCTAGGTATTGAAAGGGTGCCACAGTTGAACACTTTTTATCTGCATATTACACCGGTGTTATCGATATGATATGGTATGATATTCCTCAACTGAATGTGCCGCTCAAAGACTGCCTCATGTTTCAGCTGGTGCGAGATTCGGGGTATCGAGGTGTACGTCCTTCACTCACTACTCATAAAACTGCCGAAAACTTTTACACAGCCTTGTGAGGGTAGTGTGTTCTGCAGAGAGAAAAAACACTTGGACCTATCGCTTTGGTGACTTGAATAGGTTCTGATTACTATCGTACGTGCAGCTAATGAACTTTCGTTCTTCTTACCTTAATGACGTGATGCACAAATCGTTACGCTATTGTGGAAGGACGCGTCCCCAAACTTCATTCTCATTGGTTCCGCGTTAGAACTTCTTTGATTAGGATTAGGTGTGAGCGTGACTCACCGCCCACCCCAAGACGACACTCAACCATTCGACAGGTTGTCGGTTGTACCAGTCGTCAAGCTGACGATCGGTCAAAAAGGAGTATCAGTTTCTTCCAGAGTAATCCATATTTGGTTTTTAGATCCTGTAAATATTCGTAGTTTCATTTTTAGCTGGTGCGCATCATGAATCCTCGTGTTTTTACATTTCTAGGATCTACAATGCATTTGAGGTCTTGGTTCGGCGGCATGTTAGCCTGGACGAAGCTCTCGCTGCTGATACCCTCATCACTGATTCGAAACACCGGCCTCCAGCCGCAATCTTTCAAGGACATCAGCCGCTGCAACGTTCATTTTTGATTAATATCTTTCCATCCGGGGAACTCCCTTGTGGATGTAGTGTTCCGCATCCGATCCCTTTGGGACCTCAAGGGTTGGATACCACTCTGGCAGATGAGGGACATAACGATAATCCTTCGCTTTCGAAACGACAACAAGCAACTCAAAAAAAGTTACAAGAACTGAAAATCGGAAGCTACGACTCCTACTACACACATACAGGATATATTCGCGAAGCGTGGAGGAGTTTGGCTGTGGATATAGTTCACTGTGTGATTTTCTCCGTGCCGGCTAGCATTCTATCAGCATTTGTCGCCATCGAGGAGATGATTGTGCAGTCGCCCTCAGAGAAAGTGATCCCCCTTAGGGGCGGGTCCCTAGCGATTCATGTCTAGCAGGTGTGATTTTCTCCGTGCCGGCTAGCATTCTGTCAGCATTTGTGGCCATCGAGGAGATGACTGCGCAGTCGCCCTCGGAGAAAGTGATCCCCCTTAGGGGTGGGTCCCTAGCGATTCATTTCTTTCTAGCAGGTCTTCTGCTGCGTGTTTTCGACGAGAATGAAAACGCGGAAATACGCCGTCTCCAACACCTCGTGCTCTGGGAACACCTTTGTAGTCTCTTTGAGGCACCAGAAGGACAAGAACAAGGTAAAAAAAACGGTTTATGCTGTTTGAATTTGAACGCAATCGGCCAAAACAAGTTTTCATGCCTTACTTTAGCAGTGTTCCGTTTGCAATTTATGTTCGCTGGACTGAAAGAAAATCCAACATGGGAATTCTGTCTAGGTTATGTTCGCTGGACTGAAAGAAAATCCAAAATGGGAATTCTGTCCAGGGCATTGAACTAGCGCTCTACTTTTTCAGCCGTTGGTACCTCTTGTTCCACTTTTTCCACCTGGTCTTCTCTTTCGAACTCCATCTATTTTCAGAAGTGATGGAGTGCAAAAAACGAATGACTGCTCATCTGGAGAACCTGTTGAATCAACCGGGGTAGGTCCTCAGTACCATGGTTCTGTTCCAACTTGCATTTTCTCCATTGTGACGTTGTGGTCGAATTTATTAGGTGTGTGCAACACTTTTTGTTATGTTGTAGCTCCGTCTTCCAGCTAGTTGGTTGAGTACTCCGTTGATCCATCTGCTCACGCCTATTTCCCGACGAGTCAAAGGCCCCCAGGTTCCGAGTACCCCGGTACCATAACTAAACGTTGTGTTCTTGTAGACAACGTATGACGTTTTGTCGTATTTGGTAGGGGTTGCCAAGTCCCTGATTACTAAGGTTGTCTGTCGGACATCCTTCGCGGTCTTAGATTTTCTCCAGGCAGTTGTTGGTCAGACCGTTAGAGCGACCTGAATTTTTTTTCAATACGCTTCGCATTATGGTATGGTTTGTTACAAAGTGAAATTCGGTTGGGGAAGCGTTGCCCCGAGGTGTACGTCGTTGTCTTCCTCTTTGGCTGACCGAATGAGGTGGCTAACATGTACTGTATGTATTTTTCTGAAGTGGATTCTTGTTTGACGTCTTCGGTGTGTTCATCGTAGCAGTAGGCTAGTCACGTTGGCTCATACCTTCCGCTGCTGATCAGCAGTTCATCCGTCATCGGCTACAAGCCGTGCACTACCACAGTTGGTAATTTGTCATTCCTCTTATTTTTTATATATTGTTTCGTCTTATAAACTACTGATCCTCTCATCACTTGGGTTGTTTCGGTGTCTCGGCCTACATAGCTACACGAGTCGTGATTGTGAAATGAAATCAAGCTGATTTTGTTTCGACCATTATCAGTCTGCCCACCAACCGCCACATTTCTCGTTTTTTCCACCCAACCTTAACCTGCTTGATTCTGCCCTCTCACCCGATTGTGTAGCTCAACAGTGGAGTGCGCTTTTGCACAACCCTATTACACACTGTTATCGGGTACATCGCATTCGACTCCCCCCACATGTTAACAGTTATCTCAGTTTCACACTTGATAAAGGACTGTGTTTAGAATATATTTTCCATTTATTGTGTCCCAGTCTTAGGCCTTTGGTAAAAATTGAACCACTGCATCTTTTATCTTTTTGTCCTAGAGTCGATACAGCATCTCAGTGCTAACTAAAACCGCCACCTTCCCTTCATCCTTTACAGCGAGTTTTCTGAGGTGATAGACCAAAGCGCCAGCAGCAGAAGCTTCCAACTCACTCAACAGGTGCGCATCGTTCAACAACACGGTACGTTGCCCACGGCACAAGCAGATCTTTGTAATTTGTCCAATTATCCCTCCGACTTCCTCGTGCTCAGTCTAATTTGTGTTATTATCCTGTTTACAGCGCTTCCAGATTTGTACTTCATACACTGGTTTTTCAAGCGGAATACCTCCTGGATCCGTGAGCTTATTCGACAGGACCTCGGTTCTTCAGCGACGACCTCCGAACCAAACTTGTCTGTGGTGCTCGACAAATCGGATGAGGGACAAAAACCGAACGCTTACTTATGGCTCCGTCAGGTGCGAATCGGTAACCCATCGAGTAGCTTTAGTGGTGATTTGGAGAATAAGTATCTAACTGTTCGAAACTCGGTGCCCAGTGTTGCTTAACGATCGTAATGAGGAGCGTTTAATTGGCGGTTGAGTTGTTCACTGAGAAGACCGGGAGCCAGCAACTTCAGTTGCAGCACCCTTTCGGTGCCTAACTGCCATGCCATCCGAAGGTTGCACGAAGCCTGGGATACTGCCAGGTTGCCCAAGTCTAGACAGGGGAAGTCGAGAGGCAGAGGTTGGGTTCGAACCACGGACCTTCCGGTCAGTAAATTCGCGCCCTAACCACTTGGGCCATCTCGTTCACTGAGCTTAGCGATTTCGTTGCAAGCGCTTCATCATCAATCAAGATGACACCATTAGTGTGAGTCTTCGTATAGCGGAGAGGTGCGTCAGTCTTTAAAAGTCCCTCAAGTGTGAATGAACTCCCAGTTTGTTTGATTTGGCAATCCTATTTTCGGGTCATCAACCAGTGCTTTGGTTGGGCTGGGTGCCCGGTGACCTTCTCTTCTGAATGGGAAGTCACTAAACCGAAATGCTTAGTGGTTCCGTCTTGTTTCCGGCATTTATATTCCGTTAAGCGGGACTAGAGTGATGCAGGCTAGGAAATTTTGAAGCATCGAACTTGAAGCTTTTCCATACTTGTTCTCCGCTGACATCGAACTTGAAGCTTTTCCATACTTGTTGTTCTCCGCTGGATTTGAAATAATTGTGGTGTTTACGGCACGGGCATTATTTCCTTTTACTTTCATTGTCAATCGTGTTATGACGTATGACTCGATGTTGAAGGAACCTGCTATGAGTTAAACCGCAGTCTCCACACCTGATAACTTTTTCGATGCATGAAGCGGAATTGCTAACAGCCCACTCTGTCATTATGGCACAGTTACGGAAGAAGTAATGCAGTTGTTCCAGCTGTAAGAAGACAGCTTTCGGCTAGTTCTTTGAAGCTCTCCATATCTTATGACCCTTCCAGAGGCTGTCATACTTGCTTGATTTTTCAGAGGTGAAAATTGTATAAATACAACTGGGCTTACGAGTATTCCGGCTAACAGGCGCTTGAAGCAATTGCTAATCATGTTAGACCTTGAGCTTTTTTATCCCGAATTGTGTGCACGGCAAAAAAACAGAGCTTTCAATCTACAAATGGGTTGTGTTGCTTGGGAGTTCGACGTGAGCAAAAGAGACAAGCAAACCATATGTAGACCAGAAGGAGGAATAATTCATAAGTTTCGTGAACCTTGCACGAGTTGCTTGGCATATCATGGAAGTGCAACACGTGGAATGCAAACAGTGTGAGGAAAGTGTGTTGGACATCAGCGTCGACTTCTGTGCATAAGGCTACTGCATTGTTCAGCGATTTGTTACTGGTCTTGTAAGCAGTTAGCCTCGATAGTACATCAGCTTAATCAAATTCTTAGGCTAAAATGTACCTTGGCGCGATTTTATTATGCAAAGGTGCCCAAGTCGGTGCGTTTTCAGGTACCTAAGGCCGCAAAATTTGAGTTCCCAATACCGACCTCAATAAGAGGTTTGACGCTATAATATAGTTCAAGAACCATGAATGCTTCTTGACAGGACAAGGACCATTTACCCTCCCATGCGCACTGACTCATTCAGTGGAGCACACAGATTGCGCGCATTCGATGCCCTGATATTTCACGGACAATAATGTCTTGTTATCCTGCTAAATCCTGAATTCCCGTGATCTTAGGTCTCCGGTAAATTTCTTCCAAAATGGAGCTCACGACTCACTGTCTCTTAATAGAGAGCGTTCAGCCGTAGCACCCTTCCGGTGCCTAGCTGCCATGCCACCCGAAGGAAGCACGAGGGCTGGGATACTGCCAGGTTTCCCAAGCCTAGACAGGGGAATTCGAGCGGCGGAGGTCGGTTTCGAACGACAGACCGTTCAGTAAATTCGCGCTCTAACCACTTGGGCCATCTCGCTCCTCACTGTCTCTCTCTCACTCTGATATATATTTCAGCATCTTTTCTGGGTAGATTTTATGTTCCTTTGATTAGATACCGACAAGAACAATGCCATCCAACCACGCTGTCTTCAACACACCATTCAATCGTGTGGTGTGGTGCCTAAAAAGTCTAACTGAGCCATTTGCCTCTCCAACCACAAGCATCGCTGCTACTCAGGCTGAATTGTTGACCTCTGTTAGCGCTGCAATTTTTTGTGAGCGATGTAGACCGGTATCAATGTGTTCAAGAACCAGTCCTGTTTGGCGGAATGCTGGTCGTGGATTTTGGGGGCGAGATGGCTAAAGTGGTTAGAGCGCGACTTTACCGACCGGAAGGCCCGTGGTTCGAACCCGACCTCTGCCTCGCGACCTCCCCTGTCTAGGATTGGGCAACCTGGCAATATCCCAGCCCTCCTGCTTCCTCCGGGTGACATGGCAGCTAGGCACCGGAAGGGCTTTACAGCTGAACGATTTATTTATTTATATTTATTTATTTGGCTGTAGGGAGAGAGTAGTATTTCGTAGTTGTCGCTTTTTCCATAAAAGCGTCATCACAGTTTGCCTCCAGATGTTGGATAAAATCTACAGCTCACTTTGAATCAACTGAATTACAATTACATTCACTGGTCTGCAGTATGTAGATCGTTCACAGAATTTGGTGGAACATCCCGGAGGCATGAACACATGAAGAGTAACAATCAACATCGTGGATTTTCCAAAAAAGGCTTCGACTTGTAAGTTGAAGCTTCCGTCACTTGATGATGATGGCGACCAACGAATCAACGTAAACAAATATCGAGCAGTCATGTTCGCGCGTTATAGTGTCGCTGCCATAAACTACTGTTCGTCCTCAAAACGTAATATGCAGTGGTCTTTACGTATTATAAGAAATCTGTGCACTGCTACAATCCTCTCAGGTTGTCTACACCATGCGGGGACTCTTTTCGAGGAATTTCTCACTCGAGTGCGAATCACCTAGGGTTTTATACTGTGTAAGCCAAAAGCTCATCTGTTCGCAGGCTATTAACTACACAAGGTGATTGTCATCGTAGGTGACTCCCAGGTGTCATTAAGGACATGGAAATTTGTTTGTGAACCACCACATCAGCCCCACCGTCGCTTCCAAATCGTGGGGTTTGTGACTTTATCCCCAGTAACCTGTCCGTGAAAGTCCCTTTTGAGTGGCTTCACTCATTACGTATCCTTCCTTCGTATAATGCGAATTGGGTTCGATCAGACGATTGTCGCGCTGCGTATTCCGCCGCCATTGCAAAAGGCAAATATTCGACGAATTGCACCTCTCGGAAGCGACCGAGAAGTGAACAGTGTGTGATTTGGCAACGGAATACGAAGATACTAACCAGTAAACTTAGTCGGGTGGATAACCGCCGTGTCCCTGGATGGGGATCACGGGACTCAAATCACCAATTGCCAATGACATTGGCAGAAATTGCCCAATCGCGCAGTCAGTGGCGCTCGTGCATCAAGGCCTTCAACGGGTAACTACCCAATTTCCGAACAAGGCTTGGTTGTACATCCCACACTCCCGTTTTACAGTGGTCGGAACTGTAGCAGCTGGAACCAATGTGCCTATGGTACGTTGTTTATAGTTGATAAATTGAAGTGATTGGCGACAGCATATGTCAACGTGGCAAGCTTTCACACTGTACGAGACAAGCCAGTAGGCGAGAGTCACTTATTGATATCACTTCTTTCTCAGCTTCTGGTTTGTTTTCTTAATTTTCTACCGCCTTCCCATTTTATTCGTGTAGGAGGAACTCGATTGGGATCAGTTGAGTTTAGTCAATATTGGACTGACGCCTGATGGTATCGAGGATCTTCGAATTGGTCTTGACCAATCAGAACTGCAGCAGTCTCACAACAACCTTACCTCGGCTGTGCAAATCCAGGCATAATAAATCGAACCCATCATTATGTGGGTTCTGTTGACAGATCCATCTTACTTTCTTTTAGTACTCACCTCCAAATCGCGTCACATTAACCCTTCGTTGTTCTTTCTTGGTAAAATCCAACATCATCGTTCCATAACTTGCTTAACTTCTTTGGTATGTATCAGGTTACTTGCTTTTCGTAAGTAGTATGTTGCTCGTCTAAATATATTTCGCACTCTCCCGCCTTGCACTCCATTACTGCATTAAAGTTGGGTTGCAGCTGAGGTTGACCTTTTCTCCCAAGAATTCTTTCTTACCACATAATTGAGAGAAAATCTGCCGTGAGGAATTATAGACACTCACCAATTGGACCCTGAAGAGAGATCATGGCGCTAACTCAGTTTTTGATCTTATAGGGATCTCAAATAAGGTGGTAGTGGCTGGCATGAGTCACTTTTCTTGTCTCTCCAAGGAGGTGGGCGTCTTTATGAGGGGTGATTGTCGTTAGGACCCAGCAGATGGTGAATCTCTCAAAAAGTGAAAGTCCAGTCTGTCGTTAGGACCCAGCAGATGGTGAATCTTCCAAAAAGTGAAAGTCCAGTCCCACTTGTTCATCGCACAACATAGGATCATCGTTTCATATCCCATAGCGTGAGCACCTCCGATAAACTAAATTTGTGTGGTTTCGGTGGGATTTATCCATAGTAAGGACTTCCTACTCGTGAACTAGTGGTCGTTGCCCCATGGTTTGTTGCATTCCGGGCTGGTCATCAGGTTTCTTTGGAACTACGGTGTTAACTGGGTAGCGGTTAGTGGCAACCGCTTACGAAAGAAGTCCATCTAGCTCGGGCTAACCCCGAGGTGCATTAGATACTATGAGAGGGTCGCATATCTAGTTGGAAAACTTTTTGTAAGATGGCAAGACAGTTTGATCATCATCAACGTTCACCTATGGCTCCTAGTGGCAAATGTGTCTCATATGTGACAATACGGCCTCAAAATGGCTTAACTGTGGCGGGTTACCGAAGCCCTTCGATTCCTGGTTGATTCAAACCCTCAAGGACAGTGCCAGAGATTCGAGTGGAGTGGGTCAGTGCGGAGATTGTGGTTAGGATGACGGTGACGGGAATAGGAAACATTTGGTCCCGACGGTATTGCACGCTCTTCTACTGTGTATGAGTCTTCAGTGAGTCACTGCCACTCATGAATTCGTTACGGAATGCACTTGGACGCAGCCAGCACTGTCTGCACCGAATTCCTCATCAACTACCCCATGTTGTTGGCTTAGTCTCGCATGCGTGGTAAATTAAAAATTCCAGTCTCTGCAATAAACAGTCTCGAGAGCAGCAGAACTGGACATGCCGTCTCAAACGACTCCCAATGGACGCCGCGTGTATCGACTTCCCCAGATGCGCCGTGCTATGCATCGAACATGTCGATAGGGCGGGCTCTTCCATCCAAAACGAGCTAAATTTCTTGGGTCATTTTAACTACGAACTTTCCGTATCACTCCGTTGCACTGGCACGAATTTCCGCCTTTCCTCGAGCAACGATCCTGCATTTGAGTCACATCACTGCTGTTCTCCTTGTCTCACTTCTCTGGATGTATTTAAGCGGCGAACCGCCGTAAGACATGAATCTGGCCATTTAGGTCCTGTTGTAGTTTGTTTTGTTCTCCTTATTATAACCAGTAATGAGTCGACTACAGCGCTCGTGCGGTTCTAATGTCACAGCCTTACCCCAGCTATCCAACTACGCCAACACCTTAAGCCCAAACCCATTCGGTTATTTCATTCTTTCATCCTGCTACGTCTAACCGATTGCTTGGCCTGATGCAAAAGATGACAGACATTTCATATCGTACCGGATTGACTGTTGTGAATAGCCTCATGCGGTTTAACTGCGCCAAATCAAAACAGCAAAGCCTGGTGTTGATGGTGTTAGATGTCATTGAACCCTCGCTACTTGTAAGTTAATCAGTAGCGTGAGTTTTTAAAAAGCTTGTTCTGTAGTCCCCGGGCTATCACTGTGGGACAGTCCGTTGAGGGGAATTGGGCTGTCAGGGGCACAGATGTAAACTACCTATTGGCATTTTTCCACCGAATTTGTGCCGCTAGCTACACAAAGTGGATGTGACCTTCCTCAGGAGGTGCTCGGCACCCCATATAATTGCAGTGGTATCCTGTTGGACAAAGCACGAGGGTCTATGGTGTGGTTCATCTTAGTATCCGCACAAACGCCAAGTCACCGCATGTTTATCGTTAATGTGTGGTTGGCTATAACGAGCACGGTCACACGTGACCTTCCGTTTTTATTGGGACCCATGAGGTGGGTGCAGAATGATCAGGCATGAAACCTCTTGTTTAGCCTTCTCAGTCTATTGATTCACATCCCCCTGCGGTCAATCGGTTGAAGATTGCATGGTCTTGCTAGCCAGATGGTCTCCCACCTGATGAGTGTGAACAAGGGTTTATTTATCGTGTCTAGAACATTCTTTAAAGATTAATTTCGTGGAAATCGCGAAGTGGGACGGACAGTTCTTCTTGTTCCTGGCGTATTCAGTCCAATTAATTTGAATGCCGTGGCTATTGGGTATGGATAGTGAAACGGATCGTTTCTGTGTCAATCTTCTTCTTTCCTCTGGTTCCATGGCCGTGTAGCGTGGACATCGATTGTTTCTCTTCGAATTTTCGCCGGGACAATACTCAAATGGAACATTACGCAGTTATTTAAACCCAAATTCCCAGACACCGTTCATGTACAACCTCACCTTTTAGTTACAGTCCTGTTGTTGTCATAGTCCTCGAAAAAGACTGTCTTCTTGAGGAGGGTGACTAGAAAGGACAGTCTGTCGTTCACAGGATCAAAGGAACCTCAATTATCTGTTAAAGTGTTAGCTAATGGGAATGTTCAACAGCCTCAGGCATATGTGACTGATGTACGCACTTGAAAGTGTCAATATGATAGATCTGGCAATCAGCTTTCACAATCCCAGTCGTGTTTCGTTAATAATTACTCCACTGTGATCAGTCTGCCTCACAAATAGGATTGAATCAAATTAATCGAAGCTCCGAGGTTGCTTTCCATGCATACAAAACGACATTCGGATGAGGTATTGGGTCATACAATTGAGCAAAGTTTCATGATGGTTTGCAGTTGGAGCGGTTGGAACAGTCCCAAGTGGAACCGAAATTAGAGGGTGCTTCTTAGATTATCTAGGACGAGTTTCATGGTGCTGACTGGATGCACTTTTACAGTCGCTTGACAAACCATATGAAATGGTATAGTAGCCTTTCCCATTAAATCTGAGAACAGTACACCCATAGATATATTTCGAAAGACCGATAGCAGGAAAAGGCCGTCTGCTGTTCGGCTTCGCTAACAACATGCGGAAGCCGCTCGGGCCACCGAAGTAGGGTCCTAACCTAAAATTCTTTAGTTCATATCCTTACCGGGATTTTTGGCTGTCTGCGTGTAGATTTGTAAGATTGAACAGGACATCGTCTCTTTTGTTCACTTTGAGTTGAGAATCAGCTTGAAATGGCCCACTGGTTCGCAGTTCGAACCGAACCCCTCGTTTAGCGATTGCTCAGATTGCCTGACAGCACCTCAACCCTCGTGCTTCCTTCGAGTCGCGTGGTGGCTATACACAAAAAGGTTGTCACATATTTACGATTGCCAGCTTGTTTTTGCTTATCTAGTGAAAGAATTCGCACAACTGAGCTGTTCGATCCCAGTCATTTTCAAACGATTCACAGGAGAAGGTCGCAGAAAAAATGTCACTGGTGGAGCCCTGGAAAGTTAGTGACAACACCTACCGGAGGCTGCCGAGTAGTATGAAAACAGGAAATTTCCTGAGTTGCTCCAAGATTCCGTTCTGTTTAATTTTTGATCTCCAGTGATTTTTGGGATCGGAACAGTGAGACATCGTCGGCGTATCACGTGATTGGGAAGTCCGGGACGAATATATCACGGACTCGCACTCTACAATGCTAATTTGATCGCACTCGTTTCTGTACTGCGTGGTACCACCTGATCAAAAGTGTATCGTTCAGCTGTTACGGTAAGTAGCCAACATGTAACCTGTAATATACAGCTTAGATTGCACATTGTTAGTCACCTGGGACTAGACAGGAACGATCGATATCAAATTTTCAAAATTTCCGGTTCAGAATTTTGCGCCTCGTTGAGCTCTACTGTGCGCCCAAACCATGTCATCTTACCAACTGCGGTGTATTTTAGAGTGACCGATCAAAAATGATGACCTTAGGGAGGGATGAGTTTGACCTAATAATCCAAAAGAACTAGGGATATTCCACAGCTTTAGACTGTTACCAACACCGGATGAGCATTTGCCAGTTTGTTCTCTGGCCCAATTTTTTGGTCATTTGTTGACTGCCGTTTAGTGTGGATCTTAGCGAAAACGCCATATAATTTGGCTTTTATAGGTATTTCTATGAACACTCCACAAACGCTTGTACTCTTTATTTCTTGATTGTTCCCAAAAGTACAAACATCCTTGAATCACCAATGTTATAGGTCCGACAAATAGGTACTGAATTAAATTAGTCAAATTTCTAAGCCACACCGATTTGGGACCCGGGTTATCCAACGCACGTCGCATTAGGATGTTTTCTGGCCCGTGCGGTTGGTTTTCACCCACGTACATTCTTTTATCCATGCAAGACATAGTGATCAATCGATTGTGGCTCGTTGCCGACCGAAACCAGTTGCAAACCGTTTTCGGACGGATGTACTGCCTAATCACGTTGGGACCAGTGTTGTTTGGCCCACACAGTATTCCAGTGTACCCGTTGTCAAGCGCCGATTTCATCGCTAAGCGGTAGAAAAACGGGTCAACATCACAACAGCCTGTGCCCATGCCATAAAAACATGCTGATGTGGATGGCAGTAGTATCGGATTTCCTAACAGAATAGTGCAGTGTAGGCTGGCATCTAGGTCAGAGTGGCGTACCGCACATGAGAAGTCGAACGTCACCGGACTTGTGTGTAGTTCCACGGCCGTGGATTACGTGGTAGATAAGTGTCCGTTTGGAAATTGGTTCCCGTGTTCCATCCACTCCCAAATTACCCAGGCTATAGGTAATTTTAAAACAGCCTGGTGTGTGCAACAACTTTGTCCGGCCCGACGAACTCATTAATGACCTGTCTGAGAAGTTTGTGTTCCTGAGTGAAACTTAATACGATTGGCAATGTACAGAACGATCGCTTGGTGACGCACTCTGTGGATGCCTATAAAACAAGGATGACATTGTGAGTGTCGTAATTATAGTCTCGGAAGGGGGCTTGTTGTGCCGTCCCTTGAAGTGCCTTTCAAATTGTTTTGTAAATAAAAGCAAGGATATGTGGAGTCATTTTGGATGCGTCTGTGGATGGGAAGGTTAGCTCTGAAGTGTCCGGCATAGTCAACAATCCTTTAATTCGGAGGATGGAACGAAAACTCGGCAAACGCTAATTTAAAATGGACTCGATACGCCTTCCGAGGATCCTGATGAACCGAATGTCCAAACTTGCGAAAACTGATACCGAACCCACTGAGACTGTCGGTAGTGTGGCAACGATGTTTGTTTGTAAACGTTTGTAAACAACGAAAACCCAAAAACACTGACCACTTGACAGAGACACATCTTTTCATATATAGAACATTTCTTCGCCAAAACCCAATTGTTCGATCGTGTCGCCCTTACGGTGGACAGTTGGCATGTTCCCTGGGTTGCCTAAATTTGAAACTTCATGCCTTTATCCCGAAAGTTTCCCGGGAAGAAGGAAAGAGGTTAAACGGATCGAACAATAGGATCACTGTCAAAGTAAAGGCTCACCACTGTCTGCATCCAGTATGTTTACAATTCTCCTATCAGCAAAAAACCCTAGCTAGCATGACAGACGGACATTCGTACGGGCTTCACCCTCATGAGATGTGTGACAGAGTTGTATTCCATTGAAACTGGGGGAACGACTAGTACGGACTACTTCCGAGGCCTGTTGAGTTTATTTCATAGACATTCGACTGCTATTCTGTTTACTTTTAACTTTAATCAGGGTGGTTGGAGTTTTTTTATTTATGAATGCGTTGTACTTGCGAGACTTGACACTACTGTTGTCATTTGTAAGTAGGCCTGTCTCGAAACACTACATCCGTGGCTAACCATTTACTGTCAATTTTTACGATTTTATATCATTGTTACTGATAAGCATCTAGAGAATGCTCAGAAACGTCCATGACTACGCCCGGCACTATAGATTTTCCGAAATTTAACGCAAGCCCGTTTTTTTCTCTGCTCTTGTATCTACGCGCTCGTAACGAGTATGTCCGTGTATGACAACGAATCGCGGTGTCCTGCCTTGGGTCTCCGGCCAAAGGATAAGAAACTAAGATAACCGGCTGCGAAATTACTATTGGGATCTCAGTATCTTCATTAGATATCCCAACCAGACTTTTCCAAACTTTTCCAATCCTGGTGAAGACATCCAACCTGGGACAACCAGAAAATACCGTAGGATAGCGTACCAGCAGTGCTGTTGACGTCGACCTTTTCTTGCGTGACGTTCGACCGGTCGGTCTTGCTCGATGAGGAAGTACGTTGCCGTCCTGATCCTCCCATTACAGCACCGACCTTTTCTCCTTCCGTGCTGTCCTCGTCAAAGCCATTGAAACTCCCACATCTCCGGCTAATCTGACGAGAACAATATAAAGCCCAACGAATGAGTGGCAGTCTCCTACAAGAAAGTATAGACTGCTCACTCACCTGCTTCATTTGCACTACGCACTACATGTTTCGCTCCTCGGTTCAGGTGCTTCTGAACTGGCAGAAAGAATTTCACATTGCCTGGCAAAAATCGTGTCACCGGTTTGAGCGCGCTTTTACAATTCCCCTGAAAATCCGTTGAATACCCACAACTTATCGTAATGTCAACAGATGTTGTCCTGGTGACTATCACTACTCCCATATCGTGTGTGTGCCAAGATAGAGCGAACTTTTAGGTTTTGCACGAGATGAGTATGAAAAACCCGCACGTGATGGCAAATGTTACCAGCATAGAGAAGAACTCTTGCTACAAGGAAAGGAATTGTTTCCAGATGAAACGTCGAAGCCAAGGAAGACACAAAAGTTTTAGGTATTCTTCGGTGTCATCCTTTGCTTGGATCTACGTTTACTTCTCTTCGTTCAGACGGTGGCCTATTCCCCTCACCCGTACTGTCTTTTTGATTGCTAGTGTTAAATCGTCATTGTTGATCTCTTAGATCAAGCCGATGAGTTGATTCTTGTGCATCCATGTTCCGCTAATTCCAAGATTTCCAAGTCAGCTTTTCTGTCTAGCCGCGGCTCGATACCGAAGAATACGTGTCAATGACGTATTCAAGACGACTTGATTGATGTTCAGTAGCATCCCAGTGTTGCAATGACTGGTGGGATGATAAATCCCGGCGGTTAAACCGGAATTAAGGACTGAGTAGTGTACATCGGTTCGCATCCTGATACCGCTTAGCAGTTTTAGTGGGACAAGTGAGTATACCGATGGCTAAAACGCGAGGCATTGGACTAGATGCACGTAATGACCTGGTTTCGAGTCTACCAAGAGAAGCGCGTATGGTACATTCAAGATTATCATGGACCGAAGAGCGGTCCTTG